GGCTGAGTTATGAAACATGGTGACACCTCTTGGTCATGCTGCCTTGTATCTGTAGGGCCTTGCTCCTCAGGACCTCTCTTTTTGTGGTTCAGCTGTAGTCCACCAGAGTAATTGTGACTTTCTTAGCAAGAGTTGTACCCACTGCAAAGCTTGTCAACGTCTGTACTCATTTTCAGAGCCAGACAATTTGATGAACTGCTGCAATAAGAACAACGCTGCCCAAAATGCTTACGGTGAACAAACCCATTCCTGGTGTTTTTTGGCCAACATCTTTGTTCTGAATACTTGCAGGATCTTTTCAGTAACTACTGCATCCTCTCCCAGCCGTGCGATCTGATGGGGAGGCTGCTCTGTGCAGAAGTGAGATTTGCCACTGGACAGGGTACCCTGCTCTATCCCTAGCGCCCGAAGGAACCGTGTAGGATCTGGTAGTTATTTCTTAGCATTCAAGCTCGTACCTTTCTTTTAACATTACAACCAGAAATGAGTTATTTCTTCACCACTGTACAAGGCAGTGCCTCTGCAGTCCTGCTGAGTTTTGGATTTCCCACCCCACCACATGCACACGATACTTTTCACCCCACTCCAAATCATAGAATGGGTTGTAAGGGACCTTCAAAGAACATCTAATCCAACCCCCTGCAATGAGTAGGGACATCTTCAACTAGATCAGGCTGCTCAGAACCACATCCAGCCTAGCCTTGACTGTCTCCAGGGATGGTGGATTCACCACCTCTCTGGACAACCTGTGCCAGTGTTTTACCACCCTCATTGTAACAAATTTATTCCAAATGTCCAGCCTGAATTTCCTTTTTTTTAGTTTAAAGCCATAACCCCTCATCCTGTTGCAACAGGCCCTGCTAAAATGTCTCTCCCATGTAAGCCTTTCTTATAGGCCACTTCTAAGTACTGAAAGGCCACAGTTGGGTATCCCTGGAGCCTTCTCCAGCTTGAACAAGCCCAGCTCTCTCACCCTGTCTCCATAGGAGAGGTGCACCATCCCTCTGGTCATCTTTGTGGCCCATGAACACAACCCATGTGTTTGAACGTAAGGCATCCAGGCCCGGGCTGAGGGAAAGCCAAGCATTACCCCAGTCACATGCAGCAAGCTGATCTTCTGCTGCACTTTCTGTTTAAGACCTGATTATTTGTGCAGGCTGGATTCTGAAACATTTGGCTTGGAGCTGGACAAGCACAACTGACAGACTGGACGGTTGCCTGGTGTGCTACAAGACAGGCGGAGAAGGAAGCAGCTCTCGTGTCATTCAAGTGCTCGAGTGCTCTTTTTCAGCAGGTATTTTTTCAGTTCACAGCAGGCCATTGACACCAGAAAGTGCAGCAACAGCAACAATTTCAGTGGCGAAACTGCCCATGTTACAATCAGAGGGAGATAAACTGAAGTACTCGTTGGAGTGGCAGTACCAGGAAATGGCTGAGACATCACATGGTGGAGGATGTGCACTCCGTAGCACAGGGACGTATTTACTTACAGGCTAGACTGCCACCAGGCTCAACCAAAGGCAGTTTTGGCTAGTTATTTGAGTTACCTGACCCACTTGCAGTAGGAAGTCATTATATAGATAGTAAATACCTACCCCACCCTTGGTAGGCAGACAGACTCTTTGCCAAAATGGTCTAACTCAGCCTCACAGAATATAAAATACTGTGACTTTCTAGTTAAAGCTGTCACTGCAAAGACATTAGAAGCTGCTGCTGTTCCAGTAAACTGCTCCACTTCTTGGCATTCAGTCACTGTGAAGAAAGCCTCTAGGATTTACATCTTACCACCACCTGGAACACAAATCATAGGCAAAGTCTGCGTATATATAGGCTGATATTTTTCTTAAGGTGCAGATCACTTGCTTCTCCCACTGATTAGCAAAGCTCCCTCTGGCATCAGGGAGGTTTCCTGTGACAGAGGATTCTGATAAGAGCTTTACACAACCATTCATCTGAAGTGTTAAACAGAGACTCCAAGAATTTGTTCTTAGACTTCTTTGTATTATTCTCTTGTAATGAAGGCTGCAGCTGACTTTGCACACAGAACATGCTTGGTGATGAATACATTGATGGATGGGTTTAAAATTTCAAGCAAGATGCTTGAAACATCATCTACAAGTTATCATTAAAAATAAAATCATGGTGCTATTATAATAATTTAGAACTGTAAATTCTTTTCCCCATCAATAGATGAGATTTCCCCAAAATCTGTGGCCTGCACCAATATTGACTGCAAATTATCACCAAAATAAGATTCTGGTCTTGCTTACACCAGAATGTAGTTGGAGAAGGTCCATGTAAAGACAGCAGGTCTGTACTAATGCACCTGAAAGCAGGTCTGGTCCAAAATACGTTTTAAAGTAAGAGGACTTACTTCAAGTTAGAATGATGATGACCTTTGCTTGGACTGTAGGAACAGGTGGTGATAGAAAAGGAAGAAAAGAACTGTCATGTCTTCTACTGCACATATATCAGTGTAATTTCACTTATATTTTGTGAGTCTTACGTGAAATTTCAGATGCTGATACTGAAGATCCCGGGATGGGTTGAAGCACTTCATTTAGCAGAAGCTGAAGGGAAAATTCTGTTTCCTTCAAAGGTCACTTCTTAGAGTTCAGGGGTAATTTTTCGTTTGATAAAACCAAGCAATGATCTTGTTTGTCCTCTGCAAAACCAGGAGCTATTCACTGAAATTGAGCAGGTCTGGATAGCGCATAGAGGGATAGGACAAGGTAGAATGGCTTTAAACTGACTGATGGTGGATGTAGGTTAGCTCTTAGGCAGAAGCTCTTCCCTGTGAGGGTGCTGAGGCGCTGGCACAGGGTGCCCAGAGAAGCTGTGGCTGCCCCATCCCTGGCAGTGCTCAAGGCCAGGTTGGACACAGGGGCTTGGAGCAAGCTGCTCTAGTGGAAGGGGTCCCTGCCTGTGGCAGGGGTTGGAACTGGATGAGCTTTAAGGTCCCTTCCAACCCAAACCAGTCTGGGAGTCTATGATTACATGACCTGTTCTATCCCTACGCATGGGGCTTGTGTATTGCTGCTGCCTTTTCTGCACAGCACGCGCTTGCTGCCTGGGTTGGCCAGGCTTAGGAGAGACCACGAATAAGTTAAAAAGGATTTATGCTGCTATTCTGTGGATCATTAATCACATATCTATGGTGTTAAAGAGAATGTGTCACATGGGGCTCAACAGGGGGTTTTAATGCACTACAGCAAAGATCCATAAAGGACACAGGCACCCAGCTCTGAGGCTGAGATTCAGGAGCCTTAATTAGGATACTGCTTTGCCTGCACAGTGAGCTGGGAGAAGCCAGTGTCTAGTAATGGAATTCACATGTACCAGTACTCTAAGCAGGGGGCTGAGTCAGTGAGATGGAAAATGCTGAAGAAATGGATACACCTCTGCACTTCAGTTAGTGCCTAAACCCTGTTCTTGTATCGGACCCTGAGTGCTGAAGTTTTAGCAACATGGACCAGTGAGCCTGTGTTTACAATTGCCCTGGGTTTCCTTAAGGAAATAAATCAACTTTTTCTCATTTGAGCCTGTTATTAAAGGAGAAAGCTGCACACCAAAGTGCACTGGAGCCCAGTGCTATCCTGGGGCCACACTTCCCTTCTTTCTATCCTATTTATGAACACCCTTCATCAACTAATCACTGTTTGGCACAGTACTAAATTAAATCACTGAACTCCAAAACGTTGTTATGTGTCTACCTACTCCATGGTTCCATTGGGATGGAAATTCTCTATCTCCTTTAAAGACTATTAGAGCCCTGCCTTTCTTGCTCACAACAAAAGGGGATTGTTGACTTTGTTTGTCGTTATTTTCCTGTTCAACAAAAGATGCTTATTCTTTCTCCCCAGTGCTGAGATCCCTGGGAGCCTGTAGACCTCCTCTCTGCTTGCTTTTCTTTCCCCTGGTTGACTACAGAATAGAAAGTCTCCTTCACCCTGGAGCTTGTGTTGAAATGCACAAAAGCAAATATTATCTATCTAAACTTTCAAGGTTTTCCTGACGAAGGTAGTAATTAAAAAGTCGATGTGAGGCATAATTGACTAAAGAAACAATGTTACAAGGCACAGCAGAAGTGACAATGAGATTAACACACATTTATGATTAAGAATTAGTTGTTCATGAACTAAAGTCGTTTCAGTCAAAACCTTTTGACCTTTAAGAGATGCAGCAAACCCACGAACATGTAGTTGTTTTGTTGGAGCCTGTTGTTGCTATCCCATTGGAACCTCGAGAGAATAGCTTTTCTGATCCTACAGCTAGGCAGCCTGTGGGCAGGAGAGCAGGGCTCTTGCTTTTTGAGAGCTAGCAGCCCATTCATGGTGGGTTGACTTCTAAAAGAGCCATTTATTGAATGACGCAAGGTACAAATTATGACTCACTCTGCATAGGTTAAGTTGGTAAAAGTCAACCTATATTCATCTTCCTAGCACCTACACAGCTGCATAAAGTATTTCATAATAGATTTAAGCTGAAAGACAGGAGATTTAGATGAGACATTAGGAAGAATCTCTTGCCTGTGAGGGTGCTGAGGTGCTGGCACAGGGTGCCCAGAGAAGCTGTGGCTGCCCCATCCTTGGCAGTGTTCAAGGCCAGCTTGGACACAGGGGCTTGGAGCAAGCTGCTCTAGTGGAAGGGGTCCCTGCCCGTGGCAGGGGTTGGAACTGGAGGAGCTTTGAGGTCCCTTCCAGCCCAAACCATTCTAGGGTTCTATAATTTATTAGCTCTAGAGTCCCATTAACCCTTTTAGAGGCTTAAAAATGGTCTGCAATACAAGCCAGCCAAACTGATGTACTTATCTGGTGAATTGAAGTTTTCCTTTTTTTATCAGCGGTGATCTGGTGAAGAGCAGATTTGCTTCTCTCTGGCCAGGATTAGGTCACAGAGTGGCCCAGCAGACTGGCTTTGAACATTTCTTCCTGTTTAACAGCCCTCAAAACACGCTTTGATTGCTGGTGTTTGCTGATATGTGACACTGTGTTTTCCAGGTCTTTGCCAGATGAACCAGGTACTCTTCAATCTCGGAAGCCTCTCATCATCTCACAATGATACTGTAAGTGATTGCTGTTTATTATAAGCAGCTTTTTAAGCACAAGCTTGGTGCCAGTCCAGTGCATTTTATTAGTTGAAACATTTCCTTTTATTTCCCACTTGTGTTGCAACCTACTTTTTATGGTAGATTTAAGGCAATGGAAGCAGTTTTGCTGTGTTTGCAAGGCCTTTGAAAGGACTGACCCACCTCTTCACCTTCTCCACCCATCTCCTTCCCCATCTTCTCTCCTTTCAAAGGGAGAACATCAGGAAGTTTAGAGATTCAGATGTGGTTCCTAAACCTGTGTCAATGCGGAAGATCTACTATACTGCTGGAAATGGTGTGCAGCCACTTGTTCCTGTATTTGAGCTCTCCTTCCTCTCAGGAAACCCAGATTTCAAGGGAAGGAAAACCACAAGTGACCCTTGTGCATGTCATTGCAAAAAGTGGTAGTTGCTTAAAAAGAAAGGTGTTACCCTTATGTGCATGGCTGCATTTCTCCACCTATTCCTCTACTGTGCATGTTCCAAATAATGACAGCTATTACAGGCTGCATGAGATGCCCACTGAGAGGTGAAGCATCTCTTTCTTTGACCCCCTGTCTGTAGTCCTAACTCAGCAGGATTTTCCTTGTCTGATAACATGGCTGGACTAGAGGAGGGACTGTGCCTTCTCTTATTGCTGTGGGTGAATAAATACCGGCAAAAGCCTTTCTCCAGGGTTGAATCAAACACTGAAATTCATTTACTTCTTCTCTGGTCATAAATACTATGTGTCAGCTTTCTGCAATCCACACTGTACTAACCTACTTGCAGAGATTCCTACATAAAGGAAGTGGCAAAATTGCATGCAAGATTATTGACAACAAACTAATGTGAAATACGAACATTGGCCAGACACTTGTCTGTGCCTTTACTCAAGGAACACGCATTACCCTCTGACTTTCATGGTCAATCACATCTAAACCTAAAATGTGAGTTTCAGAGCACATGTAAGGACCAAATTGGAATTGAGTATAAAGATATATATGCTGTTGGGGTTAAGCCCATAATAAAACTTGCTCAATGCTGATGAATAATAGATGCATTTAAAGGAAATTACGATCTGCTCCTGTTTAATCCTTGAAAGGAAAAAAAAAAAAAAGCAAATTTGCTTATAAATTCTCTGTAATGGTTTATTCTTTAAGACGGAACAATGGAGGCTTGGTATGAAATCAATAAAAAGGCCTCATTTTATGCCCCAAGTTTGTAGCCTACACAGAAGTCTGTTATGGCAGCTGCTGGCCTTTTACTAACACACCAGGGTTCAGACCAGGTTCCTTCAGGGCTACAGTGGTAATGGCTCAAGTCTGGCTGAAACAGGCTGGAATTCCCTATGGATCAGGCACAGAGGTGGACCTGTACCATGCACTCACCTGTGCGTTACGTCAGTAAGTCTAATATGTGCCATTCCAGTTGTGGCTCTTGTAAATTAAACTGAGAAATAAGTTGCTTTTTTCAGCTCATGCCACTGCTGAAATACGATCCAAGGCTCAGGTAGGTTGCAGCTGTGATCTTGCTCCTTGGTTATGAACATACATTTATGTTCTCAAGACATGAGAGCTCCTTCTACCCAGGCAAAAACTGTAAAACCGAAATGAACAGCGTTCTCTGTGTACAGTAGAGTTATTTCAAGTGCCTGAGGGTTTGAACATAAGCAGACACTGTGTTCGCATACAATATAAGCAAGACTTCTGGGGTTTGGCATTTCAAATGACAATTAGAAATACAGCAGGCATGTTTCAGCAACTTTATGGGATCCCATAAACATCCAGAAAGGGATTCCAGACAAAAGCAGAGATTCGCAGGAAGGATTGTTTGCTTCTTTTTGTGTCCTACTTCGGTTTTCAGTGGGATGTGTTGCCTCACACCACAAAACTAATGAAACAAAAGCAAAGGGCAGAAGATTTCTCACTCCTTGGATGCTGTTATATGAGAGAAAATGCTTCTTTGGGAGTTTACAGTCTGTATGGCTCTGTCCAGGTGACAGCTTTAGCTTGAGGAGAAAAAGCCCCAAACAAGTCTGGAAGGTAAAAAGCACTTTCCTTCCCCAGCACACACCAGACACAGTAGACTCCAGGCCTCTCCCTGGCACAGTTTTGTGTGCCATGACAATACCTGAATGTTGCTGGATATATTTATGTAGTGATAGGACAAGGGATAATGGCTTCAAAGTTAAACAGGGGAGACTTAGGTTAGACCTTAGGCAGAAGCTCTTCCCTGTGAGGGTGCTGAGGCGCTGGCACAGGGTGCCCAGAGAAGCTGTGGCTGCCCCATCCCTGGCAGTGCTCAAGGCCAGGTTGGACACAGGGGCTTGGAGCAAGCTGCTCTAGTGGAAGGGGTCCCTGCCTGTGGCAGGGGTTGGAGCTGGATGAGCTTTAAGGTCCCTTCCAACCCCAACCAGGCTGGGGTTCTGTGATTTACCACAGGAATGACAGTATTGCATAGTCACTCAGCTATTCCCACTGTGCCCTCCTGACAGCATGCCATGGGTTATGAAATTGTATATTATATTGTGTACCTTTAAGCAACATCGTGTTTACAAATATACAAGGCACCTCTTGTTGTGACCGTGTTTAGGCATTAACCTAAGGTGAGAAGAAGAACCTGAATCGCAGGTTAAGGATTTAATTACAAGACCTTTCTTCCTCAATGCTTTTTTTCCTGCCGCTTGTAAACCTTTGGCAAAAAGAGATCCTCAGCTGTGGTGGGTTTTTTTTTTGTGCCTGAATTTCTCCTTAATCAATTCCTAAATCTCCAAATTTGAAATTGCTATGAGATTGAGTGGATTTTCCTGTAGGCTGGTCAGTTCTTTCCTAGCCTTGAGATGGGAGACAAACTGCAGTTTGGTTTTAGGTAGTTCTGAAAGCCCTCTCTTCTCTCTGTGACACTTTAGCAATGATGTGTTTTGTTCTGTGCATGTGTTCAAACCACATAGGCATCAACTGAACCACCTAATGATGCTCAGCCAGAACTCCTCCCCTGCTCTCCTGGGTTTCTTTCGGTCCCCCCCTCACCCCCCTCCTCTTTGTTTCCCCACCTCTCACTTTTGCATTCTGAAAAATACCAAGTCTGGTATAATTTTGGGGGTATCTGTAGGGAATTCACCTTCTTCCTCCATGCAGAGGCCAAGGAACTGTTAGTCTCTCCTTTCTTGTCCCTGGAAACCAGCACTGGCATTATTTCTCAGGAGTCAGGGCTAAGTGAGAATTAGGTTCCTGCCTGGGTTAACCAGCGCTCTGCATTAGTGATCCCATGTCTCAATCTGGGCAGGAAGAAGTAAGGAAACTGTTTACTTTATCCTCCTTAGTGCACAGACCAATCCACAGGAACTGGGAACAGGCCATCTGCCAGAAAAGAGGGAGATAGGAGGTATCTTAGGGTTACATTTGTTTCCTGTGGCTGTTGCTTTGCTTTAGTCCTTTCCCCTCCTTTGTAACACAATTCAGGACTACATAGGAGCCCTTTTCCCCTTTACCTGTATTTATCTCCTTTAATTACAGGATCATTTTGCAATCTGAGGGAGGCAGAGGCGATCCCATCCTGCCTTTCTACCTTGCTCGTTGTGGCTTCGTGCTCCTGACCCTGCTGCAGTTGCAATGCCATGCTGTGAAGCAAAACTGAAAGGTCCTTTTTGTTTTGTTTGCCTTTTACTTTGCATTCCTTCCCTTTCCCCTGCATTCCTCCTGCTCACTGTATTCCCAGCAGCTTTTTTTTCCCACGTAAGGGAGCATCAGGGCCATCCCCCAGGCCTTTTACTGAAGCCTTTACTGTAACATGGCCTTGGGCTGGATCTCACCCCTCATGCAGGTGCTTAACACAGAATGAAGGTCAAGTCCATTTAAGAGCTATTTCAGGGGCTTAAGTGGGCATGAGATAGGGTGCAATTTTAACACTCATCCTCTGTGGAGGATAAATTTGATGTTAATTGTAGTGAAACTGCTGTGGTGGAGAGTCTTTCTAGCTCTGAGTAATGTTGTGTGCTTATTCCTTTGCTATAGCAGCTGTGTGACTTCTTCATTTATACAATCAACCTGAAACTGTCTTGATTAAATAAGGTTTGTAATTGCTGCTCTCACAAAAATCCTAAAGGGAAAAGCACTTGCAGTATGTCTCCAGAATGCTGTCTCCAACTGATACACTTTGCTGAACATTGCAGATAGCTTCTGCTGTGATGGAGACGTGGAGCTCATCTGAACGTGGGATGGATTTGAATAATCTCTTTCACTTGTCCAGCACCACAGATTTGTTCCTTGCCTTTCTTTTGCTCCTGCTTTGCCCAGGTTAGTCCCCACCACCAGGACTTCAGCTGTTTGGACAAGTGTATCACAAGCCACTGCACCTCAGCCTTAGGACATACATCCTGCTGTTCAAAACAGTTTCTCACACTCCTTGACATTTACTCCTATGGGTATTTGTAGACTGTTATGTCTGCCATTACTTGTTTAACCTAGCAATAAGCATTTAGCTCTGTCCTCATAAATCATTTCCCCTCAGACCGCCTGTGCTCCGAAGTATGAAAAGCCCAGGCTAAGCCTACCCTTTCAATGACTATTCCCCACAGGATTTCATTGGTGGCACAGAATCATTGCTCAAGCCATGATTTCATTCCTGGCTTATTGCATGATCCTTTGGTGATTATACTGACCTAAGGATCTATATCAGCAGTTCTCTGCTTTTCTTTCCCGTCTTCCCACATAGCCTTCAAGACTTGTTCCACCTCTTCCCCCAACTTTAACACCACTAATTAAGGCTGCCTGTTCTTTCTCCCTAAGAGTACATCATCTGGGAGTAGCAGAAGCTGCAAGGTGTATTCCCAATTCCTTCATATTCCTCACTCTTTGCTGAAAGACCTCTCTGCAGCCCCAAGCTGGTTGCCAGGGACAGCAAAAGGTGGACTTCCATAGCATGTCTCCTTGGATTTGTGGCTGATGGGTGCAGCTCCCTGGAGCAGGGAAAGGAAGAGTAACTGGCAGGATTCAG